GAAAAAATTAGTTGCATTGATATTAATTACTTGTATGATAAAAAGAAGTTTTTTTTCAATACATTTTTGGCGCAGAAAGTAAAATTTTCACACACACATATATATATATATATTCAATAAAATTTCACTTATTCAAATGAAGAAACTGATTACAATCAGTTTTGTGTTGATTTACATAATATAGACATTTTTTTCCACTAAAAGGGGAAATTAACGATTGAGCGTCGAAATTATAATCAAGAAAAATAATCTCTAAGTTAAAAAAAAGAAGAGGTTCATTTTTATAAATTTCATTCATACTTAACATTTTCAAAGTATATATAGTGTGTGAAATAAATAAATATGAGTATGAGAGACCACTGGGATACTCCACTTCATCGGCGATTGTGATATGTATATATGTATATAATTATGGGGAAAGTTCGACAGCTCTGGCCTGCATTCCGGTCGAACCGCCCATGTCAACGATAAGAAAAATCTTTCCTTATATGCCCAGAGTGTTGTCATTCGAAAGGTGTTAATTGCCTATAGGTAGTATCAGTTAATGTGAGAAGGGACATGCATAATTACATCCATAAAAAATGCATAATAGAGTGTCAAAACTAAGAACTCTAATAGAAAAGTTACTAGAGTTTCGACTTACTAAAACTGTAACAAAAAAGTTACTAGAGTTTCGAGGCTTAAAACTCTAATAAAAAAGTTACTAGAGTTTCGACTTATTAAAACTGTAACAAAAAAGTTACTAGAGTTTCGAGGCTTAAAACTCTAATAAAAAAGTTACTAGAGTTTCGACTTATTAAAATTGTAACAAAAAAGTTACTAGAGTTTCGAGGCTTAAAACTCTAATAAAAAAGTTACTAAAGTTACGAGGCTTAAAACTCTAATAAAAAAGTTACTAGAGTTTCGACTTATTAAAACCCCTAAAGAAAAAGTTACTAGAATGATTTATACCCAAAAACTTGTAACTGTTCCTCTTTTATTTTTGCCTATTTTTGTTTCCCACTCTAGGCAGCGAGTTTTCTACCCAACAACAATAAATTAACAATAGACAATAATTTACCGGACTCGGTTACTTTTATTCGTGAGACATAAACATAAATGGGTATACATATAAAGCTGTAACAATGTTTTTAGTGTCTTTAATAGAACATTTACTTGAAGCGCACGTACCGCATTATTAACTTTAAATGGTCGTGAGAATACTGTGTTTAGCCTTTGATATTCCCAACTTGATACTCGAGTTCATCTCATCATTCTAAGAAATGTTCATGTATAACTCAATATAGATTTAATAAAATCAGTTTCAATCAAATTTTGAAAATATATTTTGAAAATTGATCTGATAATTTCCACCGATATTGGTATATATACTTTCGAATGTTTTTAAAAAAAAATTTCTGTCTTAAATTACATTTTTTTTATCATTTTATTTTTGAATTAACATGAATTTAATGGCAAATAATTTTCATAACTTTATTTATGTATGAAACTACAAATTAAGACTTGTAGAGAATTTTATTTCATTATATATTTGAGCCGTTATCCTGAGGTGCATTCTTTGAAGACGCCTATGTTCTACACAAAAGCTATTCCAAGCCTTCGTAATTACAGGCTGCGTGGCACGAGTCAGGTATAACTGTTATATATATGTATATAGATACCAACACATATGGAGTCTAGAAAGAGAGGACCCACGTCTTAAGAACCGCCACGTATCTGACATTTTAAAAGCCCAAAAAAATGTTTACCCGAATCCAGTGCAGATCCTGAGTTATAAATCGAGTAAACGTCTACTTTTTGGATCATTAAAAAAAAAAAAAAAAAGAAATCCTATTGAAAATCGTTCGAGACAGAATTAATAAAAATGACAAAAAAGAAAAGTTTTTTTTAAACGTAAAGGATCTGATTCCTTCTTTCACATAACGTGAATGGCTCCTGCATAAGTCCCAAGTGTATATATACTAAAAAGGACCTCGTCATAAATTTTACGGTTATAAATGTCGTTCGGAAGTTTCTGTTCGTGTATATATAGGTATATAGATAAGAGTATGTATTCAACTCGTTTTTTCTTTCTCTCTCTCTCTTTCTCTTTCTTCGTATCTTCGTATATTTTTATGATTCCCTGCGCCTTGCATTTGCGTTATTGCCATCCTTCTCTGCGTGGATTATGCAGAGTTAAAAGACAAAGCGATCCCTGCAGTCGGTTCTTTTCGCAAATTATGTACAGGCCCTCTTCGACGTCCATAGAAATATCAACGACAATATACTGCGCACTCTTTTGACTCTCGCGAATAAAGCCTTGCCACTGCAGTCGATTATCGTATTCAAACAATGTAATTCCAATATATGATACGGTATTTGTAAGAGGGGGGGGGAAGAAATTTGAGAAATAACGGCAATATGTTACATTTTTAGTGGAAGTAGAAGTATTAATGAAAACCAAAACTGGAAAACATTCATTAAAGAAGTGAAAACGATCTCTAACAAGTTAAGTGTAATGAGTATTACTGACATTAATCCACTCTCGACGCGCACTTATTTATGAAGCACTATATAAGAATGGAAACGTTTATTTACTCCAAATATAGAGTAACTTATAAATTGCTCCTGATTTATTAGCAAAGGCCATAGCAGGTGTTATGCCATGTAACATATATATATGACAGTTCTTCCAGATTAGGAGATGACACCTATCAAGAGATTGAGGGCGAGGAAAGAACTACAACGATGTTGAGGATGAAATGTCTGCTAATTTAAGTTTGCCAACGATCTTGGTGACCTTAAATAAATGTGTGTTCATATCCCTTCTTCTGATGCGGTTAAATGTAGCCAAACGTGTTTTTACTGCATCGTATCTGGAGAGAGAGAGAGAGAGTACCCACAAAAGAAGATTGGCCGTCGGTCATTGTATATGTCGATGTTGATACCAAGTCCTTAGGCGAGAGATGCTGTTCAAAGATAATAGAAGATGATCCTGATTACTCTTTTCGATCTTATTGTTCACGATTTAAACAATATTCGACATACACGACTTCATTGCAAAGAACATTATATATATATATATGAAGGTGAAGATGTTGCAAAAATCAAGTTTTGATTTCATTGCTGATAATAAAAGAGAAAGAGTATCGAGATACATCCTTTGATATTGTTCCTTCGTAATCGATTTATCGATGGCAATATGAATATATCTTAACTGTTTTGAAAATTGTTAAAAAAATAAACAATTTTAATTTTGTTAGAGAATTAAGAAGGAAAGCTTCCTGCCAACTTGCTTGTCGCGATTATAAAACTGCAGTGAGCATCGTGTATATGCGGCAATAAATATGCCAAATTGTAGAGCAAGTCTTAACGTCTTTTTGCGCTACGTCAATACGTCTGTAATTATACACAGCAATTATATGCCTACTGTTCATTATTCACGGTACATCAATAATATACTATTACTATTACTAGTTAGTCTTGACAACTGGAACCGCCTCCACACTCAATGAGTTACCGTCCAATTTCGGTGGAAGGTCAAAAAATAATTTTTAAATATGTCATATACCTATATTGTTTGGGTCTAAATCTGATTTAATCACAAATAGTGTTGATATGCATAAGATTATTGAAACCAATAAGCTTTAATAAAAATATTACGAGAGCTTCAAGTTGTCATGAAATCGGTTGCTATGGACCTATGCAAACGGTTGTCATAGTAACAGATGTTATAGAAACGGTTGCTATGGAAACAACTACTATGGAAACGGTTACTACGTTAACAGATGTCATGGTAACTTTAATAAAAAATTTTCAGAGTTTCGAGGTTAATATTGTAATAAAAAAAGTTTTAAATATATTACAATAACTAAATAGTATCGAATTCCACATAAATTCTCGATTATATATAAATAGTTTAGCCTGGACAATCAGTTTGATTTTAAACGTCACGTGTTTTAATTAGCATCTATTTATATCGCGACATTTCGATTCATTAGGTTCTAGTGTTTCTGCGTAAATACTGAATTTACATAAACTTACTACACAGCTCTACTGCCACTAATTAAGATATTCAAGTAGCCCAGAAAGTTTATTAATGAACAAAATTGTATGAGATGTGGAAAATGCATCTTGTCGTATATTTATGCGTTATCAGATATGACTAGAAATCAGGTTCTCGTTTAATACACTGCTACTGCATATATATATATATAGATCACTCGCAATTTCTGAGAAAGCAAGTTTTGCTGCTCATTGAGAAAAGCAACATAATTTAAACTGAAACTAATAAATCTGACAGTGAAACTTCCATATAGAAGAACCGTTATTAGTTATTATTATTGCCTTCGTCGTTATCTGTGTTTATTTCATAAAACCTTTTTGATTGTTAGTCTTTGCTGTATACACAAAAAACTGGCTCCTTTACATATATATATGCAAACTCGATTTAAATATATAGTTAAAAGAAAATACATGAGGCATTTGGTGCAAATGAAATGAAATTTATATTTTTATTAATGACAAATATTCTTGTCAAGAACTATATTGATTAGAGAAAACAAAATTAAAATGTGATTTATTCCTGGTATGAGACCGTTTTCACCGTGTGGATAAATTTAATCTTCAGAGATGTTAAAGGCAGTGTATTTTGCGTCTGCGCAGAATATACAGCTTCTGCGCAGACGCAGAATATATGTTATAACCTTGGGGAAGATTAAATTTATCAACACGGTGATAACGGGCTCTATATAAGCTGAATTAAAGAAATTTCTTATATTCTTTTGCTCTTGACAAAAAATAAATAAATACTATATATAAAGGAAATAGTTGACGATGGATTCTCGTAATACATCAACTAGATGTTAATTATTGCTTCTAGCAAAAGGAGGATATTACAATTCAATGTCTAAGGTACAATATATATATATATATATATATATATATATATATTATTGCTGTGCGATTTTAACGAATATAGTTTTTCATTATAAAAGTGAAGTTTACAAAGAATTACTTACATTGTCAGCTTGATTAATGTCCACGCCATGAAGAATAAGTGTATCGCAGGACTCCACTTGACCAGCTGCAGCGGCCAATAAGAGTGGACTGCGACCGTGCTGGGGAAAAAAAAATCATATTTAGTTTCATTAAAAAAGACTAACTTTTAAAAAAGAAATAGAAAATAAAAATAAAGTATCTAGATACAAACCTAATGGTTTTAATATCTTATATACTTGTTACACTATAATTAGTAGTGTTGCCGATAGCAAATTTATAATCTACAAATTTTTATGTGAAATATGCTTTATGCTAATCGAAATATGGTTAATGGTGCGTAAAATTATGTTATGGAACATTAATTTTACTATTTATTATATAGTGTTTTAGTTTAGCAAATTATAATTCCATTGGATGCAACAACAGGTTGTTACCGCGAGAATTGCGCCTTATTGCCTAATAACATGTGCGATTTAAGCGAGAGCAAAACTTACCTCATCCGGAAGGGGTTTGACGCCATCATTGAGAAGGCGAGCGAGACGCGTGGCATCACCACGAACAGACGCCTCGCGCACCTTTTCTGCCATTCCGGTCAAGCATCTGCAGACCATAAAAGAAAGAAGAGTTAATTATGATTCTTTGATAAAAGGGCAAATTTCTTTTAATTTTCTATCAAAATAGACACGGTACTCAACCCGCGTATCATTTTTCATACTTCCTTTCAAAAATCAAGTGCAATGTGTATATAAAAAAAAAAATAAATTTGAAAAGTGAATTCGTCTTTTGTCAAATTAACATTACACCAAAATTATATTCACAAGATGTGAAGGAAGCCCATCTTCATTAAAGAAGAGCAAAAGAACATGAGCTGTAAAGGTACAATGATACATGACGCTATTGTTTTCAAAGACAATGGCATATGTATATGTGCGTTGAAGAAAACAGTAACTTCTCTCCGCACTCTCTCTCTCTCTCTCTACATATAAACAATAATATGCCGCATATTAATTACAAAAATTTTTCAAACAATTTTTATAACAACTAATTTATATAAATGCTCGCCTGCGCTAGTAATTTTGTATCGATTCAAAAAATTTATAAATATATATATATATTTCCTGAGGACGTATATATAAATAGTAGTTGCAAATTTGTGCAAATAACATGAATGATTTCTTTCATTTTTTTTTTTTTTTTTCAATGATGTCTACACTTTTCTCTTTAAGTACTGTGCACACATAGACTATTACTGAGGAAGCGCTAATTGCTGAGAACTTACATCGTGTAGGCACGAGAGATTCCTCCCTCGGCGTGTCCGTACATATCCAATAGCACGTCTGCTCTTCTAAGAGGCATGTTTAATATTCTTGAATATTTCAGCTATTCAATGCGGATATCATTTTTTTTTGTGGGTATTGAAAGAGAGAAAAAAATTTGGATTAATTGTATTATTAAATACGTTAAAGATAGTGTTGATTGCAATTAGTGCCTTTTAAATTTATTCTTTGAATTTGATGAATTTATATTAGAAACAAAACATTATAAACGCTTTTTAAATCAGTAGTCTTGTTTTTCTATTGTTTTATTTTTTTTTTTATTATTCCAATACTAAGTGTCGAAATTCTGGTAATTTTTTTTTATTGGAGTTTTAATAAGCCGAAAATCTAGTAATTTTTTTTATTAGAACTTTAATAAGTCGAAATTCTAGTAACTTTTTAGGGTTTCGTGGCCCAGGCCCTAGAGGGCTTATAGGTACCAGTTACTATGATAACCAGTTACTATGGTACCAGTTACTATGGTACCAGTTACTATGGTACCAGTTACTATGGTACCAGTTACTAAGGTACCAGTTACTATGGTACCAGTTACTATGGTACCAGTTACTATGGTACCAGTTACTATGGTACCAGTTACTATGGTACCAGTTACTATGGTACCAGTTACTATGGTACCAGTTACTATGGCAAACTATTTTTTATTATATACAAACTAATTTTTGACCTGAATTTTAAAAGACACGAAACCCTATATGGATGAAGGCACATTGCGCCTGCTTCTCTCTTACTGTTTTTATTAAAGTTTTAATAACTCGAACCTCTAGTTATTTTTTTTTTTTTAATAGATTTTTAAGTCTCGAAACTAGTAATTTTTCTATCAGAGTTACACATCTGGAAACTTAGTAACTTTTTCATTAAAATTTCTTTAGAACTCTAGTAACAAAGAATAACATGAAAATAATGTTAGATAAACGGCAATCTATAATAGATATCGTAATTTGTTCCGAGTATTTAGGGAAATTGTGTGTTTTTAAAAAAATAGCCAAAAAAAAGGCGCGCATACCAGTCGCGTGGAGAGATTGGAATAAGAAATCTTTTAATTAGAGATCACGAGATAAGAATGTCTTTTGCGTTCATGGGCCGATTTGCACTGGCATCGCGAGGGGCATTCCTTCCGTGATCGCGACCTACAAGAAATCGTCCTTTCATGCGTAAAAAAGTTCGCCCGAACAAAGCGTTCAATTAAAGCATCCGTTTGCCACACCAAGAGGCGGTTCCGGTTGAGAAATCAAAATTGACGTGACTTCTGACACTGTTTTAAATCCTTTTAAATGATTATTTTCTTGATTTGTCATATGTGTTATGCCTCTAGGAATTAAAAAAATTATGTCATTATAATTTCAAATTTAATTTAATATTTTCTATTAATAAATTAATAATAATTAAATAATTAAAATTTTTTTTTATATAAATAAACAAAAGATTTTAGTGAGAGATAAATGAATTGTTTTTTGGAATTTCATTAAACATTGGGACATGAAAAAAATAGGGTGGTCTGACAATTCCCGTCGATATAATTTCATACTATATATGATGAGTCGTGATTAGAGATGACTTTATCAAAAAATTCATGAAAAATCACAATGAAACGAGCCGGTCACGAAGATCATTTTTCATCATGACGAGGTCCACGATGGTTTCTTGTTTTTATCAGTCACGTGATAGGCCGTTAGCAAAAGAGAGAAAGAGAGGCAAAAAAAAAAAAAAGTTGTACTTTTTCTTACAGGCTCGTTATAATCGAACCTTTATTTTCCACAACAGCAAAGTTTATATAATAAAAAGATTAATTCCATACCCAATGGGAAACTGCCACGAGTAACCATTGGCGTATTAATGGCCCAATGATGGGAGCCAATGAAAAAACCATTGGCACCCAATAATGGACCATTATTGGTAAAGTCATGGGCTGTCCACGCCGATGCCAATGATTGGCAACCATCATTGGCAAATTATTGGCAACCAATAATTAGCCAATATTAAAAATTTTAATAATAATTTAAAAAATCAATAATTTAAAAAAAAATTTATATTTTTATTATTTTTTAATAGTTATTATTATTATTATTTTATTTTTAATAATTAAATTAAAATAAAAAAATGGTCATCAAAGTATTAGTGAAACTATTTCTTCCAAAAAAGAGTTTGTCTCAAATCCAATTAATAGGAGAGACATCGGGCAGAAAAAAATTTCGACGAGAAAAAAATTTTAGATCACTGCTTATATACCAATCAAGTGGCATCTCAACTGCGAGAAACAGTGATGTTCGCCCTCCCTTTGCGGCGTTGAGTGAACTAAAGTCCAGAGCTGAGCCATCAGCGCAGCGCGGGAACATTTGAAAAATTTGATTTTATTAGATATTTTATTTTATTTTAAATATGACAAATAATTAACTTAATAAATAATTAATATCATTAATAATTATTAATAACATAATGTCATACTTAATAATTCGTTAATTATTATAAAATGAAATATCTAATAAAATCAAATTTTTTAAATGTTCCCGCGCTGCGCTGATGGCTCAGCTCTGGACTTTAGTTCACTCAACGCCGCAAAGGGAGGGCGAACATCACTGTTTCTCGCAGTTGAGATGCCACTTGATTGGTATATAAGCAGTGATCTAAAATTTTTTTCTCGTCGAAATTTTTTTCTGCCCGATGTCTCTTCTATTAATTGGAATTGAGACAAACTCTTTTTTGGAAGAAATAGTTTCACTAATACTTTGATGACCATTTTTTTATTTTAATTTAATTATTAAAAATAAAATAATAATAATAATAACTATTAAAAAATAATAAAAATATAAATTTTTTTTTAAATTATTGATTTTTTAAATTATTATTAAAATTTTTAATATTGGCTAATTATTGGTTGCCAATAATTTGCCAATGATGGTTGCCAATCATTGGCATCGGCGTGGACAGCCCATGACTTTACCAATAATGGTCCATTATTGGGTGCCATTATTGGAATTATATTGGCATCCCTGGCTCCCATTATTGGGCCATTAATACGCCAATGGTATTTTTCCCATTGGGTAGTTTGTGGATTTTTTATAAGGAGGGGTAGAGTTCATTTAATTTACCGAGTGTTTTTGCGCAGGGAAACGGAACTAAAATTGCTTCATTCAATAAATCACTTGAAAATTTACAATTCACTTATTATTATATAAACTATATTTTGGAATCCTCACTAATTTAAAGTTCTTGTATTATTATGATTGATATATCACACACTTCAGCTACTTGTTTTTTTTCTATTTTGTCAGCTAAATTCTTTTAAAAAATTTTCTGTCAAACAAGGTGAAGATTGATGAGCGAAAAAAAATTATTCAAAAAAAAATGAGACCAAATAGAAGCGAATAAGATAAAGTTCTAAGTATGACTGACAATTATAATGATCGTATATTCTCTTTAGACGCACCCTATCCGGTAGCCATTTTTAGTAGCTGGAGAAGTATATCATAATTATTTTCTTTCATATTGATTACATAATTTAAATTTATTTTTAAATCAATTTCAATGAAAGCCAAAAGAAAATTCGCTATACCTATATAGCTGAGAAAATAACTTCTTAGGAAGTTAAAAATTTCCCTCAAATTGTAGACTAAATTTAAAAAATTTAATTACTAGACCTATTTTTTCAATGACTAGAAAATAAATTAAGTCATTCATTAGAGAGAATAATTGTCATTTTCTTGCCATTGTTTTTTCGTCATTAGTGTCTCGTTTCGTTGACTTTATTTTGATTGACTTGAAACGACTCAGGACTTACTTAAGGAGTTCATCTGAAGAATATTCTTAAAGTCATAAAACTAATTCTTTTACCACAAAATTTCTCCCGATAGTTAAAATAAAACTGCTACTTAAAAAAAAGACACAAATCATATCAATGTTTTTAAAAATTAGAAATTTCTATGAATTATAATTAGTCTAGACTAATAAAATAGTATGTCGTACAAAAAAAAGGTATAATAAAAAGTATACGGAAAGCATAAATAACAAAAATTGTTTCTTTTTTTTTAAACTGACGCAACATTTTATATACAAACGTTATTATAGTTCATAGTACGTAATCGGGCCATTTCTCTTGTGAAGATATATATATATATATATACGATGTGTTTGTATCCTTCTTTAATCAAGATTCTTAATTAATTTCGATTCGTCCTACCCGCTGAGTTATATGCCGCAAAATTTCTCTCTCTGCCTTGGTGAGTTGAAATTCGCTTCAGGTGGTTCACAAATAATGCATCCAAAGAAGTGGTAATAATAGATTGTTTCTTAAACGTTACGAATTCAGGTTCCATTTTTATAACTGCAGGACAATTTCTTTTTTCGATCCACTAAGTATATGGTTCTTTTGTTTCAAAACTATTGCTATTATATATATATATTATTAAAAATATATATATATATATATATTAAAGTTACCATATCATTTATAGTAGATATTACTACAGTAATTTTTTTATTTAAGTTCAAAGTGTTAAAACTCAAGTAAATTTTTTTAAGTTTTAATAAGTCGAAACTCTAGTAATTTTTTTATTACAGTTTTAGTAAGTCGAAACTCTAGTAATTTTTTTTTCATTAATTTAAAGCCTCGAAGTTTGAGAAATTTTTTTATTAGAGTTTTAAGCCTTGGAACTCTAGTAACTTTTTTTATTAGAGCTTTTGTAAGTCGAAACTCTAGTAACTTTTTATAATTTGGAGTTTTAGTAAGTAAAAACTGTAGTAACTTTTTTAATTGGATTTAAACCTTGAAACAGTAGTAACCTTAATCTAAAGTAATCTTAATCCAAAGTAACATTAATCTAAAGTTATCTTAGCCCAAAGTAACATTAACTTAAAGTAACATTAACTTAAAGTAACATTTACTTAAAGTAACATCAACCTAACCTAAGTTACTTAACTTTAACCTAAGTTAACTTAGCCTTAACCTGAGTTAGTCCTAAGTACCTTAGTTTCTAAATCCTAACATAACTTTGAGTTAACTTAACTTTAACCTAATTTAACCGTAACTCTAGTAACTTTTTTATTAGAGTTTTAGTAGGTCAAAACTCTTAGTAACTTATTTATGAATATTATTATTCTTATATACAAATTTCACAAGTTTCTAACGCATAACATTATAAAAATTCTTATTCCCCGGAAAATATTTAGAAATTGCTACCAAACTCTTGATCACGTAGATGGTGAATGTGGTTATAATATTCTCGACGAGAGCACGTATTACGACTTATATACAAAACCAATCAAGACATATATATATATATATATTGTAGTCCTGGAGGTCAGTGCGTTATACCATGTTGGCTGCTCGTTTCTGAGCTAAAGGAGATTTACCTACCTCTGTATTCGACAAGATAGCTATAACGTAATAGATGCTTCCGAGGAGCGTAGGATGGTTACATGTATATATATAGTTAAATACACCATTCATATATATCGAAAATGCATGTATGTGCCGATATTCACAAATACCATAAATGGTTTATATATATATATATATATGAACGAAAGTTGTCTGTATGTAGTAACGCATTAGAAGGGCGTGTCAAGTAATTAAAACATTTTACTTACACAGTGCTATCTTAATGGTTGTACCATTAACTTTCACATATACCTTGATAAATTGGTAAAGTACCTGTTTATCGCGTTATCATCTTCGGCAAACGTTCCTAAAGGATGTTACCTCTCGAGTTAATGTCGATATTTAAGAGACTTAAAAATATCCCGCGTTTACTTTTAATCAACACTGACGTAGGTTAGCTTTTTTTTTCTCAAAATATATACTATAATTTCACACGCATAAAATTAGATTTTTAAATGTGCGCATAGAAAAAAAAATTGAGTTCAAAATTAACGTACGCACATTTTGAAGTGCAATAAAAATGTGCCTCGTAGGTGGCGCCACGTTCGCTCATTTTGTACTGCAATAAAAATAAGTCCATTTTTTTTTCTGATTAGAATAGAAATTGCATTGGGATTGATAAGCAGCAGCTAATAATAAATATCCAGTATAATTATTCATGCATTTTCCTCTTTGGTATCCACTTTAGCGAAAGTCTCATAGTAGGCCCTCCTTTATACATAAAGGATTCTAAGAATATATGCGTAAACGCTTCTCTATATACGCATTCTCAGTACTTAAAACATGCACTCATCCTTATTGCCCGGTATACGAGTTATCGTCGCACAAGTAATGGACTCAGTCATGGCATATACTTTATTCTCAAGGAGATAAAACGTAAATTGCAATATACCTGTTTGGAAAACAAAAATTTTTCTTTCTAGATTATATATATATATAAAAAAAAGAATTTTCAAAACGACAAATTTTTCAGGCTTTATAATATATAACCTCACTTATTAATCTAATTACATAATCTCTCATATTGTACTTCAATCAATGTCAGTTCCGCAATATTATATTCTCGACTTATTGTTCGCGCAATGAACATATTATAAAGAAATTTCCAGACATACAATTATACAATCATTTATTCAACCCTGATCTTGTAGCTATAATAATTAACGTCGTAATTTTCTCAATATTTTTTTTTTTTATACAATAGGGGAAAAATGATCTTTTTTATATGATTACATAATTTTCCTGTACTTTCGAACATTATATCACTCTTTCTATAGTTTAAGAAACTGGTATCTATTGAGTATCCATTTCCGGGTATATACGAATATAACAATCATTCACTAATGTCTTTCTAATGACTCAGCTGTATGATCGATCAATCGATCAACTTTTATATATTCATGCCATAAATCACCATATATCTTTTATAATTAAATTTTCTTTTCCACAAAAAAAATCTTTGCACTATTTTTTTTTTATTTTAGAAAAATTATTATTACACTATGGGCGTTTCAGGAGTGTGTTTTTTTAGTATTTGGTATACGTATGCCATATAATAATAATAATAATAATAATAATCTTATTGGTTGTTGGTGGTGGCGAGCATCGAGAGATTCTCAAGGACGATAGAAGCGTATTTTATTTTTTCTATTTAAGAATGCAATTCGACGTGAGGTATGCACACGAATGAACCTTACATTTATCTTCCGGTCCTTCTCATGATATATTCCACCGTCTTGTATCATCTATCACTGACGTTCAGTCATTAGGAATTATGGTGCCCTGCCCTTGTATATTTATCGAGGACTCTCAGTCTCTAATCAAGCGACACAAATGCTCTCTGGTTTTAAAAAAAAAGAATATATTTTTTCAATTCCAAAATCCGATATTCCAAAAATGCTACATCTTAGATTATTAAATTCATGATTATTTAGTTTTAAAAAAATGTTAAAATCTTTAAGTTCCAAAACTCTTATCTAAGTTAACATTGACCTAAGATAACATTAACCTAAAGTAACCTTAGCCCAAAGTAACAGTAACCTAAAATAACATCAACCTAAAGTAACATCAACCTAAAATAACCTTAGCCCAAAGTAACGTCAATCTAAAGTAATATCAACCTAGAGTAACATTAACCTAAAGAAACATTAATCTAACTTAACCTTAGCATAAGTTACTTGACTTTAACCTACGTTAACCTTAAGTTAACTTAACTTAACCTTAACTTAACTCAACTTTAAGCTAACTTAACTTTAACCTTAGTTAGTCCTAAGTACCTTAGTTCCTGAATCATAAGCTATAACTTATATTTAACCTAATTAAACCTTAACCTATGTTAATCCTAAGTATCTTAGTTTCTAAATCCTAACTTAACTTTGAGTTAACTTAACCTTAACCTAACTTAACGTTGAGTTAACTTAACCTTAACCTAAGTTAACCTAAAGCTAACTTAACTTTAAGTTAACTTAACCTTAAGCTGAGCTAACTTAAAGCTGAGTTAACTTAAAGCTAACTTAACCTTGAGCTGAGTTAACTTAAAGCTAACTTAATCTTGAGCTGAGTTAACCTAAGGCTAACTTAACCTTGAGCTGAGTTAACCTAAGGCTAACTTAACTGTAACATAACTTAATCTTAACCTAAGTTAGTACTAAGAACCTTAATTTCTAATTCCTAAGCTGACTGAACTTTAACCTAACTTAATTTTATCCTAAGTTAACCTTTTAATTGAACTTAACCTTAACCAAAGTTAGTCCTAAGTACCTTATTTCCTAAATCCTAAATCTCACATCTTTAAATTCTAAAATCATATGTTTAATCTTATTTTCGAAATTTTCCAATTTTTTTCTATTTATTTAAAAAATTATTGTTAACACTGGAGTGTTGAGCCTACTTCCTCAAATATTTCCTTTGAATAAAAAAAAAAAAAAAAAAAAATGCTAAATGAAAAAGACAATGGCCTCTGCGCGAATAGGATCAAGTCCTATACACCAATATATGTGGCCAATTACGAATAATGAGAGTAAGTGGTGCACACTGTAATCTTCCTGCTCTCTTTTGCTCTTGAAACATGAACGGGATAAGTTTCGTGAAAGTACGCCCGTTAGGGTTCTTAACGAAATATTCACCCTTTCCGCTTATTCTCGGATATGTATATAAAATTACAGTTGGCGCGAAAAAAAAAACAATTTTTACATATACATTATGCACACTTTAATGTTAAGCCGCCGTTTATTGAATATAGTGGTTTTGTCAGAAAAGAAAAAAATTTTTTTTGCAATTCGGCATATGAAAGAATCTCTACTATATTTCCATGAGTTTTAATATTTTTTTTTTTCTTTTTGTTACAGTGGAATTCCGTGCTTTTAATGGAGAAACGCTGCATCGCATAGTACAAGGTAAAGTATATATAATAATAATCAATGAAGTCCGCAACACTTCCTGTCGTCTTTACTTATAATAACCAGCATGAATCCTATACAGTAGAAAGACCTTCATATGTAACAGTTATTAAATTAATTGCATCTTGTCACGAAGATAAAACACCTGCACGTGTGACTATATAATACATTGCATTAGTTGTTTAAATATAATGAGAAAAATTTTCGTCAACTAAAATTGATTTAATTGAAAATTAATAGGCACTTAATCATTAATATATATGCGCTTCTGTTTTTTTTTTTGAAATTTATTAGGATAATATTTTAATGTTAAAATTGATTTTCGTCTTTTGAAAATATTTCTACTGCCATTGCGCGCCTCACTTATAAAAGGCGGCAAAATTCAGTTAAAAGGGCCGAGGAAAGGCTATGAATTTCTTAAGTGGCTAATTAATTGCGTGCTTGTCACAACTTTCCTTTTTCTTCTTCTTTTTTTTTATTTTCCTTCTTTTAATGCAACTTTCGTGGTGGCAATAATGGCACATCGTCAGCGTGCCATTATATTGCTTCCGAAATACCCGTCTTGATAATTTTGCAGTAAAAATTTTATCTTCAATTTTTTTTTTTTGGTCTTTGGGGGACAAAAAAAAGTTTTGCAGGAAAAGATATTCTTTGACGCGCAGCGCCATACAGTGGTGGCGTTGGTTAACTAAATTTTGTGTTAGTTAAGTGACGCTACCATCGTAGGGCGCCACTCTCGCTTCTACGAAATGTAAATAAATCTCTATTATTATTTTTCCAGTAGAAATTAATTTTCTAAACTGTCAAAAATTTATACACGAGTATACAAAAATGTATATATAAATTTAAAGAATGTCACGTTTATAATAATATACTAATTACGATCATATAGTAAAGGACTGTAATTAAGAGAACGGTTTCAGTTTATGTGTATCTAGTCATTTCATAACACTGTTTCATGCTGAGAAAGGGAAGGGGCAGTTTAAGTTGAAGTATACTTATGTGTGATTTTTAAAACATTTTATACCCGTTTTCTGTATGCGGTGGTAATTCAGAATTACATCCTCATCTTTCTCTCTCTTTCTCTTCTGTTTCTCTGTATTTTCAACGAGACCAGTGTTGGTAGAAAAGATATCGAGAAGGGAACGAGTTACTTTGGCTGGAAGCGCCTCTCTCTCGCGCGCGCAATAATTGGCCACGTTGCCATTTCCTACGTGTTCCTGCTCTCTTATTCACGCTCCTAACCATATACGCGCATATGTTCCTACCGGCAAGTAAAACATGCCGCATGGATGAGAAATGATCCGAAGAAAAACACAAGATTGTGAGATTCCATACGTGATCCTCTCTTTCTCTCTCCCTGCAATTTCATCAAAAAGACTTGATCCATTAACGACAACAGAAGAAGAAGAAAAAAAAAAACTTTTAATGAATCCCATAATAAAAACTATTCTTTCATATAGTATTTATAATCCCAAACGAATAATAAATCCTCAATTATGAATAGACTGATTTAATATTAATATCAATTTCAAATACATTTCAGATTAGAAAAATTAAAGACTCATCTGAAGTTCACAATGAGTATAGCAATATCTAGTCTAGTTAATTTTTTTTTCAAAAAAAAAAAATTATCAGTTTTCCCCTCGTCAATGTCGATAATAATAAATCCGCGTGTGGTTAGAATCTAATGCAAGTCAGAAGGATGCGATAATAATAAATATATCGGAAACAGGTGTCCATCCATATAAGTGACCGCGCGCATCACTGAACTTGCTTTCAATCTGATGGGCGTAACGTTATTTCTTGCAAATATTCTGAAAACAACAAGCCAAGCTAGTTCTTTTTACCCTCCTTGGGGAGCAAATAAATCCTGGTACATCAAGGTGGTATCAACATGTGAAGAGACAGAAAACTACTAGACAAGAGAGAGAAAAAAAAGAAGTCTTATAAAGAAATACAGAGGCTATAATCATGGAAAAACTGATCACAATTTTCCACTTTTAAAATGGGAGCAAAATAAAAAGGAATTTTTAATAAATTATTTGAATATTTAAAAGTGACAGCGATGGGATTAATATTGTTTTATTAATCTCACTGAAGAACTGAATTTTAATTGAAAAAAAAAATTAGAAATTTAGAAGTGACAGCGGTGGGATTAATATATTTTTTTAATTATCCCACCGCTGTCACCGTCAAAATAAAACAAAAAATGAAATAGAAAACACCTGGTAAAAGTTCGCATGAGAATTAATCGAGGCTTGTTATAAATGCATCAAAAAGTGTTTATATTCATCGTGTATATGGTATGAGGTAGTTTTGAAATTTTTGTCTTTATTTTGCTTTATATTGCACGTGAGGAAAAGTGAGTACCGGATGCAAAAGAGTTGGAAGATTATAATGTCGATCGCTTAACGAACTGAGAAAAATGAAATATCATCTTGTCTGCGCTCACCAATACAGATTTATGGGAATAATATAAGGAATCTTGTACATATACATAGAAAAAAAGGATCATTTACAGATCTGTCAGATCAAGATAACAGACACAATTGAAACCTATCGTTATATATACATATATAGCAAATAATTCTTATGTATTCTTATAACCAAAACGATAGTATAATATACGAAGGAAAACTGATCCTCATTATGCAGCTCCTGTAATTGTTATTACTCGTAATCAACCACATAAGCGTTCCCTTATAAGAAATATCGACTCACAAAATGAGCCAATGATGCAAATATCATGCTCGTATAGAAGAAATTTATATTCGAAAAAAACAACTCGATGACCTTGAGTATTTTATTAGATTTCTTTTTTAAAAAAAAATTTAATTACCTCTTGAAAGAATCGAAAAATTAATATAATTTCAATTAATAAAAATAAAAAACGAACAAAAAATAGATGAGAAGTAAGTGGCGCCTCTAGTGAGAAAAATGTTACAACTCAGGTGAACAGTAATGGCTGACTGTTATCGATTTGATTTTTTTGTTTTTCACCTCCGCAAAGCTGGAAAATTTTTTAAACTTATGATAATGTAAAAAAGTAAATTATTTCGAAGACGTAATATATTATTTCTTCAATATTTTTGCTCGGTTATTTTCGTTTAAATCGTAAAATGTTGATTTGAGTGATGATGAACTTACCATTGAGAGAGAAAGATAGTGGTTAAGATTACTTTCTTTTGTTGTATCGAACAAAACCACAGGAATAAAAAAATATATATAATTTCTTTGGAAGAAAACGATATGTATTACACACGTTTACACTTGAACTGCCCAGTGCCTACTACATCTTCCTATATATACTTCTTTTCATCTTGAAATCTTCTTTGTGGTCTCGTACTATAAACATGACGAAGTGAATTTAACCTCGAGTGTTAAAAAGAAGAAAAAAAATTCTGTTTGACTTCTCGCTTTCGTGAATATTGTCCATAAGGCTCAACGAGTTTTTATTTACTCTCTCTCTCTTTCTATTTCCAAAAATATTCTGACCACACTCGAAAAATACAACACTTGTTCGAGTATTTACCTTCAAGGAAGTTTAAATTATCAGAATTGAATTAATTTCTCGTTAAATGTTTCATAAACTGAATCTGCCTTTTGACAGTAATGCTTTCATTTTGAGAGTGATTATTTATTATACTTATTTTTAGATTTTAAAAAAAGAAAATGTTTTTAACAAATGTGGCGCCTCTGGCGAGTAAAATGTTGCAACTCAGGTGAATATCATAATGGCTGACAATTCAATCAGCTGATTTCGAGAAATTTTTTTTTCAGAATTCTTTTCATATTTTCATTTAATGTGTTTGAACTTTAGAATTGAAATGCTTCTGGATTTGAATAGATGTTACCTTTTTCACGTTTTGCATCACGTTACAAACGTATTTACATTTATCTTCGCACGTTTTCGTTTATATCTATTATATTACATATACCCACACAATTGTAAATGTGTTGAATTTCGAATGAACGAATGAAATCGACAATAATTTATTCTCTTGATCGTAAAATAAGCAGTCGACAGTCTTCCTACGCTTGTTTCGCCTCTCTCAAGCCTAAAAGTGCTAAGCAAACACACATGAAACATGTATTCAAAGATATCCACTGCCAATGCTGAAACGTACATTTCTAGCCAATATATATCTCATCTCTTTCTTTTATTTCCTTTTCCATCGTTTCATCCTTGTCCAGAGAGGACTTTTTTTTCCAAAATCTCTTCCCTTAACATTTATTGTTCTATTCTTTACCTTTTTTTTTACTTGAAGATAAACAAATTTGAGAAAGAGAGAAAAAATTGAACAAGTTAACTGTATTAGTTGACTTAGATATATATAATGACCACCTGACTCAGCGGATTCCTATATATAACACACATATACACAACTTTCCAAGCTCGATGATCTACTTTTTGACAAAATTGGATCGGTAATTAGTGTGAACGGAAACTGTGTCGAATCCATTCATTCAGATAATTGAGTTGTCAAGCTCATAAAACTGTCGGAAGTTCTGTAGACCGAAACATATTTTCCTACCTGGACCTAATTTTACAAGAGTAGTGCTTAAAAAAAAGGAATACTATAATTTGTGAATTAAAATGATGATTTTTAGAAACAAAAATATGTCTATTTAAATGAAAAGAAAATAATTTAGAATTTTTTTATATATATAAATATTGTACAAGAATGAATTAAGTGACACCTGCACAATTGGACAGGAAAGAAAAAAAAAGTTGTCCGTTATCGACACTAGAAGAAATGGTCGCCAAGTTTCTATACCGCACAGTCTGATCCAATTAAAAGTCTTTAACCCGTGATGTTCGAACGTCCGTAATTAACGATTACTACAAATACAAGAAAATGAATAAAATACTGAAAATACCTTTTATTTCCTATTGAAAAAAATTAGAACGCTTTTAAAAAAGGAAATACAGTTTTTTTTTAGTGCTGCAAAATTGGAAAATTAAGATTTTTGTCGTCACTCTAGTAATTTCG